TGGAGACATGGATGGATGGATGGACGGAGACATGGATGGATGGAGACATGGATGGATGGATGGACGGAGACATGGATGGATGGAGACATGGATGGATGGAGACATGGATGGATGGATGGATGGAGACATGGATGGATGGATGGACGGAGACATGGATGGATGGATGGAGACATGGATGGATGGATGGATGGAGACATGGATGGATGGAGACATGGATGGATGGATGGATGGATGGATGGATGGAGACATGGATGGATGGAGACATGGATGGATGGATGGATGGATGGAGACATGGATGGATGGATGGACGGAGACATGGATGGATGGATGGACAGAGACATGGATGGGTGGATGGATGGATGGAGACATGGATGGATGGATGGACGGAGACATGGATGGATGGACAGATACATGGATGGGTGGATGGATGGATGGAGACATGGATGGATGGAGACATGGATGGATGGATGGACGGAGACATGGATGGATGGAGACATGGATGGATGGATGGAGACATGGATGGATGGATGGACGGAGACATGGATGGATGGATGGACGGAGACATGGATGGGATGGATGGATGGAGACATGGATGGATGGATGGATGGATGGAGACATGGATGGATGGAGACATGGATGGATGGATGGATGGAGACATGGATGGATGGATGGACGGAGACATGGATGGATGGAGACATGGATGGATGGATGGATGGACGGAGACATGGATGGATGGACAGAGACATGGATGGATGGAGACATGGATGGATGGATGGACGGAGACATGAATGGATGGAGACATGGATGGATGGATGGATAGACGGAGACATGGATGGATGGACAGAGACATGGATGGATGGATGGATGGAGACATGGATGGATGGATGGACGGAGACATGGATGGATGGATGGATGGATGGAGACATGGATGGGTGGATGGATGGAGACATGGATGGATGAAGACATGGATGGATGGAAGCACCGGAAGCACTTTCCCCAAATATTGGGGCCAATGCATGGAAGGTGCGTCCGCTCCGGTGGCAGTAACATTCGGGTTATTCTATTCTCCCCATAAAGATCTCTTCTCATTGGTTGGGTGGGAAGGGTTTTACATTTTGATAAGCCAATGGGAGTGAGCTTTGTGTATTCCTTCCAGATCTGAGCCGCCGTCCAGTGTGAGACTTCCTGGAATAAAGACCGCCCCCTTCTGCTCTCTCTCCTTGTACAGGGGGACTGGTCTTGTCACCGCCCCCTCCTGTAGTGGGTGGAGCCTGCTGGTCTCCTCCCACAGGATGTGCAGAATGGCTGGTTGTCTCCACCCCCTCTCCTGTCGTGGAAGGGCCCCTCCCACTGCTCTGCCCAGGCCAGTGATGATGTCACTTTTACTTTTACAAGGCAACATCTGGGTTTGCAAAGGCATTTGGTGCTCACAGACTGCCAGAGGTCACCTTCAATCGTGTGTCTGCAGAGTTTTCCTTCTCCTTGCGCCTGATTGGGCACTGATAGTGAACACAGCTGCACCTCATACAGCAGGCTAAGTGAACGATCACTATGCAATATGAACGAACTCCACCCATCTCTGAAATCCACCCATCTCCACCCATCTCTGAAATCCATCCATCTCCACCCATCTATGAAATCCATCCATCTCTGAAAATCCACCCATCTCCACCCATCTCTGGAATCCACCCATCTCCACCCATCTATGAAATCCACCCATCTCCATCCATCTCTGAAATCCACCCATCTATGAAATCCACCCCATCTCAGAAATCCACCCATCTCCACCCATCTCTGAAATCCACCCATCTCCACCCATCTATGAAATCCACCCATCTCCACCCATCTATGAAATCCACCCATCTATGAAATCCACCCATCTATGAAATCCACCCATCTCCAGCCATCTATGAAATCCACCCATCTATGAAATCCATCCATCTCCACCCATCTATGAAATCCACCCATCTCCATCCATCTCTGAAATCCACCCATCTATGAAATCCACCCATCTCCACCCATCTATGAAATCCACCCATCTCAGAAATCCACCCATCTCCACCCATCTCTGAAATCCACCCATCTCAGAAATCCACCCATCTCCACCCATCTCTGAAATCCACCCATCTCAGAAATCCACCCATCTCCACCCATCTCAGAAATCCACCCATCTCCACCCATCTCTGAAATCCACCCATCTCCACCCATCTCTGAAATCCATCTACCTCCACCCATCTATGAAATACACCCATCTCCACCCATCTCTGAAATCCACCCATCTCCACCCATCTATGAAATCCACTCATCTCCACCCATCTATGAAATCCACCCATCTCCACCCATCTCTGAAATCCACCCATCTCTGAAATCCACCCATCTCCACCCATCTCTGAAATCCACCCATCTCCACCCATCTCTGAAATCCACCCATCTCCACCCATGTATGAAATCCACTCATCTCCACCCATCTCTGAAATCCACCCATCTCTGAAATCCACCCATCTATGAAATCCACCCATCTATGAAATCCATCCACCTCCACCCATCTATGAAATCATCTCAATGAAGGAAAAAACAAAACATGAATAGTAAGGACTCGGGTACATCAGCATCAGCCCTCTGAAGAGTGACTCATGGTGGATCGCTCTTTAAAGAGTGTTCAACAAGCAGTGAGGCGCTGTGTGACCTCCTCATCACGTATTACACCGCACTCTTATAATAAATATTTATCCTCATACATACATATTTGTCGTCCTTTTTCTCCTTTTTTTTTATCTCATTTGCTTTTTGTTTTTTCATACTTATTTTTATTTTCCTTATTTTTTTGTTGTACCTCCTTTGTATATATATATATATTTCTTTTTATTTATACCCACACATTTTATATTTCTTATTTTTATTTCTCATTATTATAGTACTATTATTTTTGTTATTTTAATTTTTTCCTATTTTTAATTTTTATATTTATTTTCCTTTTTGTCTCTTTTTATTTTTTTTTTAATGTTTTACTATTTTATTACTTTCCATATATTTTTATAGCACTTTTTTCTTGATTTATTTATTTTTTGTTTTTTCTCGTCCTTTTGTTTAATTTTTCTTTCTTTTATTATTTATTTTTCATTTTGAAATAAATAAATAAATCAATTTTGTCTCTATTTCATTTTTCTTAATTTCTTTTTACTATTTTATAACTTTTCATATATTTTGCTAGCACTTTTTTCTTGATTATAATTTTTTTTTTCTCATCCTTTTGTTTAATTTTTCTTTTTTTCATTATTTATTTTGCTTTTTGTCTCTTTTTAATTTTTTTAATTTTTTTTTTACTATTTTATTACTTTTCATATATTTTGCTAGCACTTTTTTCTTGATTATTTGTTCTTCTCATCCTTTTGTTTTTCTTTCTTTCAATATTTATTTTCCTTTTTGTCTCTTTTTAATTTTTTTAACTATTTTATTACTTTTCATATATTTTGCTAGCACTTTTTTCTTGATTATTTATTTTTTGGTTTTCTCGTCCTTTTGTTTCATTTTTCTTTCTTTCATTGTTTATTTTCCTTTTTGTCTCTTTTCATTTTCTACTATTTTATTACTTTTCATATATTTTGCTAGCACTTTTTTATTATTTCTTTTTGTTTTTCTCATCCTTTTGTTTCATTTTTCTTTCTTTCATTATTTATTTTCCTTTTTGTCTCTTTTTCATTTTTTACTATTTTATTACTTTTCATATATTTTGCTAGCACTTTTTTCTTGATTTATTTATTTTTTGTTTTTCTCATCCTTTTGTTTCATTTTTCTTTCTTTCATTATTTATTTTGCTTTTTGTCTCTTTTTCATTTTTTTTTTTATTTTTTGTTACTATTTTATAACTTTTCATATATTTTTATAGCACTTTTTTCTTGATTATTTTTTGTTCTTCTCGTCCTTTTGTTTAATTTTTCTTTTTTTCAGTATTTTCTTCCTCTTTCACTATTTTCATTTCCAATAATTTTCATTCTTTTCAACTGTAAGAATTCACTTTTTTCACAGCCTTTGATGCTATATATAGTTTCCGAGCCCTCTATTTCCAGCCTCTGTGACCCAGCCCCCTATGGGCGGGGCGAAATGTGTCAGAGGGCGTGGCCAGATCTATGGCTGAGGCCATTGGCATCACAGCGTTCTCACGGGAGTCCTTGGGATGGGTTTGAGCAGCGTCCATCCTCCCTCTTCTCACCACTTGTTATAATCTCTCCAACCTGTTGCATCGCATGCGCATTGCTTTGTATTTATTAAATAAAGTTTTGGAGCAATGTAAGTACATGAAGGTGAGAAGCAGCACGAGGAGCCAATCAGTTTATGTACTGCAAAAGAAGCACACTGATGGGAGGAGAGAGCAGAGTGACTAAGAGATGAGCTCACTGCTCTGCTGCTTCTCCTTTAACATCCAATCACAGGGAAAAGGGGCGGGTCCATGACAGCCTGCACCCCCAGGAAGTAGGTTGAATGATGCTGGCGATCAGCCTGAGGGCATCTGGTGGCAGAAAGGAAGTACTGCACGGGGATAGCTCTGGATTAAAGGTGAGCATTGCAGCAAAGGCTCCTTTGTTATTATATTTCCTCACTTGAGACCGTTCAGCACAAGAAGCCTCTTTGTTGTTCTGATGGAGATTTTTATTGCTGAATAATATATATTTTTATCCACCAAAACAACATAAAATGAGTCTCCGCCTCCCGCAGACGTGTGCATTCCACTTCCTTCTGGATCAAAATTCCAACGAATTCAAGTATTTTCTGTCATTCCTGTGTGATCGGGATTGGCGGATCCAACGAACTTTTATCGTAAACACCTCCCCCCTTCAAGTCATGCACACGTCTACCGGCTCCTCCCCTTCAGTCTCGCACACGTCTACCGGCTCCTCCCCTTCAGTCATGCAGACGTCTACCGGCTCCTCCTCTTCAGTCATGCACACGTCTACCGGGTCCTCCCCTTCAGTCTCGTACAGGTGTGTACTGGCTCCTCCCCTTCAGTCTCGCACAGGTGTACCGGCTCCTCCCCTACAATCTCGCAGAAGTGTACCGGCTCCTCCCCTTCAGTCTCGTACAGGTGTACCGGCTCCTCCCCTTCAGTCTTGACCAGGTGTACCGGCTCCTCCCCTTCAGTCTTGCACAGGTGTACCGGCTCCTCCATTCAGTCTTGCACAGGTGTACCAGCTCCTCCCCTTCAGTTTCTACAGGTGTTTGGGCTCCTCCCCTTCAGTCTTGCGCAGGTATTTCGGCTCCTCCCCTTCAGTCTCGCACAGGTGTACCGGCTCCTCCCCTTCAGTCTCGCACAGGTGTACTGGCTCCTCCCCTTCAGTCTTGCACAGGTGTACCGGCTCCTCCCCTTCAGTCTCGCACAGGTGTACCGGCTCCTCCCCTTCAGTATTTGCACAGGTGTACAGGCTCCTCCCCCTCAGTCTTGCACAGGTGTACTGGCTCCTCCTCTGGACTGAAACCACTTCCTCTGATGTCACTGCACACTGGGAGCTTCTCATAATGTGCATTAGAAGCTGCAGTCAGTCAGATAGAGCTCCGCCTCCTTTCCTGGCTGGAGGACGTCCAGCACCATCTAGCGCTTTTCTCCCCATCCTGACTGTCCCCGCCCCCCCATTGGATTTCAGTTCTATTAATTATGAAGGCTCAGTCTGCAAATACAGCCTGCCTAGGAACTCACCCATGGGTGGATGTCACTCTTACAAACATTCTGATATTTGCATAACTCCTCCCACTGCTTGCATCAGGGCTGAAGGATCTTGAATTGTATCAGGGCTCAGGATGTTCAGGGGTCACCAGATGATCAGGGGTCACCGAATAACACAGGATGATTAGGGGTCACCGGAAGACAGAGGGTGATCAGGGGTCACCGGAAGACACAGGATGATCAGGGGTCACCGGATGACAAAGGATGATCAGGGGTCACCGGATGACACAGGATGATCAGGGGTCACCAGAAGACACAGGAAGATCAGGGGTCACCGGAAGGCACAGGATGATCAGGGGTCACCGGATGACACAGGATGATCAGGGGTCACCAGAAGACACAGGATGATCAGGGGTCACCGGAAGACACAGGATGATCAGGGGTCACCAGATGACAGAGGGTGATCAGGGGTCACCGGAAGACACAGGATGATCAGGGGTCACTGGATGACAGAGGATGATCAGGGGTCACCGGATGACACAGGATGATCAGGGGTCACCGGATGACACAGGATGGTCAGGGGTCACTGGAAGACACAAGATGATCAGGGGTCACCAGAAGACAAAGGAAGATCAGGGGTCACCAGAAGACAAAGGAAGATCAGGGGTCACAGGATGACACAGGACGATCAGGGGTCACCGGAAGACACAGGATGATCAGGGGTCACCGGAAGACACAGGATGATCAGGGGTCACCAGATGACACAGGATGATCAGGGGTCACCGGATGACACAGGATGATCAGGGGTCACCGGAAGACACAGGATGATCAGGGGTCACTGGATGACACAGGATGATCAGGGGTCACCGGAAGACACAGGATGATCAGGGGTCACCAGATGACACAGGATGATCAGGGGTCACTGGAAGACACAGGATGATCAGGGGTCACCGGATGACAGAGGGTGATCAGGGGTCACCGGAAGACACAGGATGATCAGGGGTCACCGGATGACAGAGGATGATCAGGGGTCACCGGATGACACAGGATGATCAGGGGTCACCGGATGACACAGGATGGTCAGGGGTCACCGGAAGACACAGGATGATCAGGGGTCACCAGAAGACAAAGGAAGATCAGGGGTCACCAGAAGACAAAGAAAGATCAGGGGTCACCAGATGACACAGGATAATCAGGGGTCACAGGATGACACAGGATGATCAGGGGTCACCGGAAGACACAGGATGATCAGGGGTCACCGGATGACAGAGGGTGATCAGGGGTCACCGGAAGACACAGGATGATCAGGGGTCACTGGATGACAGAGGATGATCAGGGGTCACCGGAAGACACAGGATGATCAGGGGTCACCGGAAGACACAGGATAATCAGGGGTCACAGGATGACACAGGATGATCAGGGGTCACCGGAAGACACAGGATGATCAGGGGTCACCGGATGACACAGGATGATCAGGGGTCACCGGAAGACACAAGATGATCAGGGGTCACCGGATGACACAGGATGATCAGGGGTCACCGGAAGACACAGGATGATCAGGGGTCACCAGATGACACAGGATGATCAGGGGTCACCGGAAGACACAGGATGATCAGGGGTCACCAGATGACACAGGATGATCAGGGGTCACCAGATGACACAGGATGATCAGGGGTCACCGGAAGACACAGGATAATCAGGGGTCACCGGAAGACACAGGATGATCAGGGGTCACCGGAAGACACAGGATAATCAGGGGTCACCGGAAGACACAGGATGATCAGGGGTCACCGGAAGACACAGGATAATCAGGGGTCACCGGAAGACACAGGATGATCAGGGGTCACCGGAAGACACAGGATAATCAGGGGTCACCGGAAGACACAGGATGATCAGGGGTCACCGGAAGACACAGGATAATCAGGGGTCACCGGAAGACACAGGATGATCAGGGGTCACCGGATGAAACAGGATGATCAGGGGTCACCAGAAGACAAAGAAAGATCAGGGGTCACCAGATGACACAAGTTGTTCCTAGAATGTATATCCCAGGATCCTGAAGGAGCGCAGTGAGCGCCCCCCCCTCCCCCCCCATGGAGATCTGCTCTGTCCGCCCTCCCGCTGGTCCTAAATCTTCGACAGATTGCGATTCGCCGGAACTCCCCGCGCTGGCAATCACATGGACACAAATGCGGCAGGATCGGCGTCTTTGGACTCAGAAATGGCAGGATGGGGCAGGAAAGGATATTTTCACCCCGGAAAGCGGGAGGCGGAGCCACAACCACAACCTGGCTACATGCATTGGAGAAGTCATTTTGGATCATTCACGTTCGCACGTTCTGCGATTCGGGAATACGTGGAAAACCGCGCACTTTTCCAACACGCACAGAAGAAACGCCGCCCTTAGCAGGTGTGCGACCATTCGCTGTCAAAGGCACCCCACGCGTCTGCCGTCACGCTCTCCGAAATGCGCGGCATCAGGCGGTTAAACGCCATTTTGCAAAAAGGGTCAGGCACATCTTTCGCATGTTTCTGGCATGTAGATCAGCCCTACACGTGGCACACAGGAACACGTGGAAATGTGTGCGCTCCGTCGCGGTTTATTAGCACGGGGCAGAAGCGAGTGAGCGGCGGGAGGAGCGCGTGAACGCAGTGAGGGCGGGCGTATAGCGAGGAGAATCAGCGCGCTCCGTTTATGGATCCTCGTTTCCTGATCTGTAACGGCGTTACCAGAAGGAGCTCTTTACCGGATCACCTCAACGCCAGAAAAAAAACGCAATCCGCAAACGGCGGCGCGGGGTCACATCCGGCGATTTAAAGCAGATCTTCACCCCAAAGTTTAGATACTCCCCCAGCGGATCCGAGATCTTCTCAGCAGCTGCTGCTTGGGACCTGTGCCGCCATCTTGGGTGTGACACCAATGGGAAGCGATTCCTCCCGCTAGGCCCGCCCCCTCCTGGGATATGTGATGCCGATATCCCCGCAGTCACAGCGGCCACCGTACACATTGTTTGCCTAGGCCAGGGGCGGGCAACTGCGGCCCTCCAGCTGTTGTAGAACTACAAGTCCCATGAGGCATTGCAAAACTGACCCTTACAAGCATGACTCCCAAAAGGCAGAGGCATGATGGGACTTGTAGTTCACCAACAGCTGGAGGGCTGCAGTTGCCCACCCCTGGCCTAGGCGAATGACGTGTATAGGAGGCGGGACTAGACCCTTTCCTTTACATCCTCCCGCTGCTGCAGGTTGTCAGTTGATAGCGGGAAACCGCAATAATGGCGTCTAATATGGCGCGATCATCTGCAGGCTATCGCAACCGCGTGTTTATCCGCCGCGACTCGGCCGACTCTGATTGGAATTCCTCCACTTTTCAGGAATCCATTTTACAGGAAAGTCGATGGGGAAATATTCTTTCCGGGTGTTTCTATTTACTGCGCCGTCTGCATCATTATATTTACACACAAACACCCGAACGGGAAGTGGCGCCGCGGCGTGTGACGCCGCATTGTACGGACGCGGTGCGTGGATATTAATCTAATCCCCCCGGGGACGCCATATAATTGAAACTCATAGAGCGGCAAATTGTAATAACGCTCGGACACGGAATTTTAAGTAACCCTCCGCAGAACATAATCGCAGGCGCTCTATAAAGTGTCGGAAGTGCAATCTAGGACACACCAGAGGGGGTGGGGGGAGGGGAGGCGCAGGGGGGGGGAGGGGAGGCGGGAATCCGATCGCCATTTTCAAGGGAGATTATTGTTCATTTCTAACGAAGATATCTCCAATACAGAGAGTACACTGATATCTCCAATACAGAGAGTACACCGATATCTCCAATACAGGGAGTACACTGATATCTCCAATACAGAGAGTACACTGATATCTCCAATACAGAGAGTACACTGATATCTCCATACAGAGAGTACACTGATATCTCCAATACAGAGAGTACACTGATATCTCCAATACAGAGAGTACACTGATATCTCCAATACAGAGAGTACACTGATATCTCCAATACAGAGAGTACACCGATATCTCCAATACAGAGAGTACACTGATATCTCCAATACAGAGAGTACACCGATATCTCCAATACAGAGAGTACACTGATATCTCCAATACAGAGAGTACACTGATATCTCCAATACAGAGAGTACACTGATATCTCCAATACAGAGAGTACACTGATATCTCCAATACAGAGAGTACACTGATATCTCCAATACAGGGAGTACACCGATATCTCCAATACAGGGAGTACACCGATATCTCCAATACAGAGAGTACACCGATATCTCCATACAGAGAGTACACCGATATCTCCAATACAGAGAGTACACTGATATCTCCATACAGAGAGTACACCGATATCTCCATACAGAGAGTACACCGATATCTCCATACAGAGAGTACACTGATATCTCCAATACAGAGAGTACACTGATATCTCCATACAGAGAGTACACCGATATCTCCAATACAGAGAGTACACTGATATCTCCAATACAGAGAGTACACTGATATCTCCATACAGAGAGTACACTGATATCTCCAATACAGAGAGTACACTGATATCTCCAATACAGAGAGTACACTGATATCTCCAATACAGAGAGTACACCGATATCTCCAATACAGAGAGTACACTGATATCTCCAATACAGAGAGTACACTGATATCTCCATACAGAGAGTACACTGATATCTCCAATACAGAGAGTACACCGATATCTCCAATACAGAGAGTACACCGATATCTCCATACAGAGAGTAGACTGATATCTCCAATACAGAGAGTACACCGATATCTCCAATACAGAGAGTACACTGATATCTCCATACAGAGAGTACACTGATATCTCCAATACAGAGAGTACACCGATATCTCCAATACAGAGAGTACACCGATATCTCCATACAGAGAGTAGACTGATATCTCCAATACAGAGAGTACACCGATATCTCCAATACA